GGGATTGAACTTGGATCCTTGCACTTGAAAGGCAGGTGGCAGAACCACTGAGCTAAATCCCCGGCCCTCAAAATAATTTTTTAAACTCTGATGTAAATAATTAGGAAATGCCTTAATGTTGCATTCTGTATAAATTATTTGTAAAAAAGATTTATCATCTCAATGTACTTGAAGTTTTTTATTTGTTAAATTATATCTTTGAGTACTTTCTAGTTGTAATTATTTCTCTCTTTTAGCAGTAGAATCATTTATGTGCATTCTCTTTTTTCTCGATCATTACTGGTTAATTTTTAAAACTGTTTTTTTTTTTTATGGTACCGGGGATTGAACTTGGGTCCTTGCACTTGCGCAGCAGGTGGTGAAACCACTGAGCTAAATCCCCTGCCCAAAAATGTTCCTTTTTGATTTTCATTTCACTTTGCTAGTATTTCTCACTTTTGCCAGGCGTGATGGCAGACATCTGTAATCCCAGTACTCTGGGAGGCTGAGGCAGGAGGATTGCAAGTTCAAGCCTAGTCTAGGCAATGAAGTAATTTAGTGAGATTGTGCCAAAAAAGGGGGTGGTGGTGCTGGGGATATAGCGAAGGTCCTGGGTTCAATCCCCAGTACTGCTAAAAAAAAGTTTCTCACTTTTGTACTTGTCTCTTTTTTCTGGTTGCAATGCAGTTTTCATTTTCTGTGATGGTTCCATATTTTTTCTCACACTTTCCCACTGTACTTCGGAAGCTTATTTCTCATGTGCTCCCACTGCCCTGCCACATATTCCATGTTCCTGCACATACTTGAGATCAGTGATGGTGAAACTTTTAGAGCTTTCAATGAAAACAAATGGCCAGCTGTGGCACACATGCCGTAGCTTTGCCACCACTGCTTTAGATCTTTACTTCTGAAAGACTTGGATTCATGGAAAACATTTATGATGAAGTTCCTCTGCTGTGTGGAAATATTTTCTGAACTTTGGTGGGTTTTTTTTCCCCTGAAATATCTTTGTGGAGAGAAAATGCTATTTCCTTTTTTAAAAAATTACTTAATTTTGGATCTCACAATTTTTTTTTTTTTTTGGTACCGGGTATCGAACTCTAACTCACAATTGTTATATTCAGAAGTTTATTTGTGAATAAGTTTCGGGTAGAATTCAGAACAGCAGGAATTCTTACTGGTTTGAAATACAGTTCTCATGAGCCAAGCTTTTCTCTCTGTGTGTGCCTGCGTGAGTCTTCGCTCCTCTCTGACAGACACAGGTCCCGAGCCCTGTGCCCACGGTCATTGCCCTTGCTGATGGATGCTCTCTGTGGTTGCAGCCTGTGTGTGTATCTCCGTTTCTTGCTGCCCTTGTTAGTCCGTGGTGCCAAAGAGGGCAAAGGGAAGAGCCCACTGCCACACTGGAGCCCACTACCCAGCTGGGAATGCCAATTTAAGGGATTATTAATGTCGAACTTCACAGTGAGAAGCTCATTGGAAAAAATACCTTCATCAGGTTTGTATAAGATTAGGATCACATCTTTAGTTGTCTTCCCTTAGAGTCTTCCTTGACTCCTCCTGTCTCCACATTATGTTTAACTTTAGTGAATTTTGTAGCTCGTCTTCATTTGTTGTAGTTTATGATCACAGATTCTCAAGTTTTGTTGAAAAAGATATTTGCATGTATTTTTAAACTGTTTTATTTTTTGGTACTGAGGATCGAACTCAGGACCTTGCGCTTGCGAGGCAGGCATGGTGCCCCTGAGCTAAGTCCCCAGCCCTAAAATAGTGATTTTTTTTTAATAAGCGAGGGAGAAAGATGAGCTGTGATATGTCACCATCTTGCAATTTGAAATCCATCCCGTTGAACACATTTTAGGTAATTTTTTTTCTTTTTTTCTGGTACCAGGGATTGAACTCTGGACCTTGCGCTTGTGAGGCAGGTGTGGTGCTGCTGAGCTAAAATCCCCAGTCTGGTTTAGGTAATAATTTAATCTTTCAGATAAACTTACTTTGTATTATAAAATAGAATTCTATTCTCATCATATGTATAACTTCATGACAGGTGATAGCCATCATAAACAAAGACAATTTGTAATTTTTTTTTTTTGCTACCGGGGATCGAACTCAGGTCCTTGTGGTTGCGCAGCAGGCGGCAAAACCACTGAGATAAATCCCCAGCCCTAATTTATAAATTTTTAATGAAGACTTCTACCTGCTATTCTGTACCTTTAAAGATAAATTAAGAAGTAAGAATTAAATTTATTTACCTAGTAAAATAACTGCTGCTCTTCTCAGATGCACTTGGGAGCTTCCCAGGAACCCTAAGGCGTCACAAGTTAAGTATGTAATGCAACTCTCATGAGAAAGAAGCTGAGGATAAAAAGGGAAAAAAACCTCTCTAAATCATTGAAAAAACTGATGTGCTTTCTGAAGAGAAGTTCAAGACAAAATAACCTGACTGCTTATACAAAATCAGGACCAATTCAAAACCTGGGGACTTTCATGCATGAGCTCCACTTTTCTAGCCACTTGCAGGTATTATCCGTGATTCCCAAACCCAACTTTGCCTTTCCAGTTCAACTTTGGTTTCCCCTAGTGGTCAGCATTCTTCCATCCCCACTTTTTGGAGGAAGAAGGTAAGCTGAATGATCAAAGTTGTTGAAAAAGTGGAGAATTCTATTTTTTTCTCATCTCAAGCCTTAGCTGTAATTTTCCATTTTATTATCTTCACATTCTTTCCCCAAGATCAATCTTTTCCCTGCCATCCCATCTCATCACTTCGGATACCCTTTATGGTTTGTCTTTAATTCTTAGTAGTAAACATGGAAGGGCTACTTACAAGATTGTTACAGATGCTGAGAACTACCAGCTCAAAATTGTAATTTTCTTCTTTAAACAAAGTTGAGATTGACCATTCTAGTTGCGAGTCACAGATTGCTAATGTATGTTTACATGCCTGAGAGACAGAATAAAGACAGTGAGGATCTGTTTATCTGCTGTTACATAAAATATGATTTTCTGCAAAATTAAGAAGTGCAGGGGTCGGGGATTTAGCTCAGTGGTTTCGCTGCCTGCTGTGCAAGCGCAAGGATCCGAGTTTGTTCCCCGGTACAAAAAAAAAAAAAAAGAAGAAGAAGAAGAATTGCATAATCAAAGGCCTTACTTTCACTTACTCTTACTTACACTCACTACTCTAGTGTCCCTGTCCTCCAAACAGAGGATGAAGGGTGCGAAGCCTCCTAGGACATGTTTTAAGGTTGATGTGTGTTGGCTCACACCCTTGATCAATTCTGCCAAGTGCCTGATAGCCAAGCTCCGCACATTTCCAGAGCACTGAAATATGTACACAGGAAAAGAAAAACACCTCATATGAGCATAATATTAGGATATGTATATAATCATATATATGCTGCATATCTCTCTACAGACATATAGGTATGAAATTATTACAATTTATTTTTAGGAGAGATTGGGTCTAAGTAGTCAGCTCTTTTTTTGATTTTAACGTATTTGCTTACCCATTACTCATAATAGGGAAGATATGGAATGGACCTAAGTGCTCATTAGTGTAAGAATGGATAAAGAATACACACATACAATAATACGTTTAGTCATTTTAAAGAAGAAAATTCCAGGAGTGATTTTATGCTAAGTAGAAGGCATTATGGTAAGTAAAATCAGCCAAGCATAGAAAGACAAATACTGCATGATCTAACTTATATACACAATCTTTTTAAAAAAAGTTGAACTCACAGAAGCACAGAGTAGAACCATGTTTGCTAGAGGCTGGGGTTGGAGGAATGAGGAGATGTTGATTACAGGATACACAGTTTCAGTTAGGAAGAGTGGCGATCTAGTGCACAGCATGGTGATTATGATTAATAGTAATGTAGTTTGTACTTGAAAATTGCTAGGAAATTAGATCTTAAATATTATCACCACAAAAATGACATGTGAAGGGATGGATATATTAATTAGTTTGAACCTATCATTCCATGATGTATACATATATTGAAACATCAAACTGTATGACATTACTATATAGAGTTGTAGTTGTAAATTATACTGTAACAAAGCTGAAAAATACTGCAACTGGCTAAAGATTTACTTATTAAATTCATATTACATTAAAAAGTCTCCTGTGAAATATGTTTCTTAATTCAGGAAGATGGTTAGTATTTAAATAACATCCTAAAAATATTAACTGGAATAATCTCTATAATTTGAGGACACTTTCTTTTTTTTTTGTTACTGGGGACTGAACTCAGGCCCTTGCGCTTGTGCAGCAGGCAGCGAAACCACTGAGCTAAATCCCTGGCCCTAGGACACTTTCTATGAAGATACTTATAGCAAAGTCATCATGCTTTGTTCAAGTGCTAGAGGACTTTGAAGAATTGCCACTGAATAACTTTGGGAGCTCTTTGCATGCTGCTATGTAACTAGATTTCCAAGTGCTACTTATAGTAAAATGGATGGGATTGTACTATATAGATTGTTGAAGAGGAAAATTACAAGTCAGGGGAAGGGGTTCATTTTATTATTATTATTGTTTGTTTTGTTTTTTGGAGACAGGGTCTTACTATGTAGCTCAGGCTGACCATCAATGTTGTTTTTACAAAGGGGCCTCATATATTATCATAGCTGGAAAAAAAAAAGGTGGCTCTGAAGAAAACATCTGGCCTCTGGTAACTTATCCTAGTATACTGGGTCATTGCCTCAACTGGGGCTTCTGTTGAACCCTCAGACCTAAGGATCTCACACATCTAACAGTGTAACTCACATGATCCATCAGATGGAAGTAGCTGGAAGCAATTCCAGTGCACAGTGATGAATAGTTCACCTTGTCCAGTTTGTCTACCAGTCTTCGGAGGGTGAGCAAGGCCTGAGTTACAACAGTCTCATCTTTGGACCCGAAGGCATCTAGGATGGATGTTAATAAGCTGCGGACATTTTCTATCTACATATAAACGGAGAAAAATGATGGGAATTTGGAACTGAAAGACTTGAGTTGGCATTTAGTTTTCTTTGAAATGTATTTATGGATAGATAAGCTTTATTTGAACATCTGCATATAAATATGACTTGATGTCAGAAAGGAAGTTTTTCTAAAGGATTAAAATTTATTAAACCATAAAACTCATTGCTTCCCTTTGGTCTGCCTCTGAATTTAGTTGACTAGCATGATTATTGGCAGTCTGCACTCATTGCTTATTTTTACCAGACATATTTCACAAATCTTTGGAGTGGCACTTCCCATTTCTCTGGAAATCTCTTAAATTGCTCTTAGTGACAACAGAAGGCTTTTATCTGCTGCCCATCTCTACTGGATGAGAAGCAAAATCACATCTTTCAGTTTTCTTTTTCAAAATTATGGTTGCTGGCAAAATGTACAAAAGAGGAACTTAATGATCAGCCTTTTGAAAATGTTTTTGATACTGCTGGGGATAGAGCCCAAAGGACTTAATGTTAACATACAAAAATACAGTATAATCTCTGTATGCTACAACCATAACTTCATTTTAATTTTTTCATTAAAGAATTATTTTTATTATTTCTCCAAAAGAAGCTATAAAAATATCCATAAAAAGAGTAAAAACATTGAAAAGGCACTTTAAAATACTGGATTGATATGATACATCTTCTGTGATTTACAGCTAAGCAAAAAATGTTAAAGTCTATGAGTCAGAATTTCTGAATGATTTTTACTTTTTTTTTTGTACCGGGGATTGAACTCGGGACCTTGAGCTTGCAGGGCAGGTGTGGTGCCACAGAGCCAAATCCCCTCCCTGATTTCAATATTTTGATAGGAATTTACTAGGAGAAACCAGAAAGATTTAAAGATTTTTTTTTTAAATTTCAGGCATGGGGTGTGGGTCCATGGTAAAGCACATGTTTAGCATGCACGACCTCCGTTTGATCCCAGCACAAAAAGAAAAGAAAAACCAATTTTCTATTTTAACTTCAATTAAGTTTTGAAAAAGTACACACTTGTTGACAGGCACTAATAATGAGATTAATCTGGAAGGAGGAGATTTGTATGCTAGGAGTGTCCAGCCAGCCATTCCATGCAACTAAGGGAAATGTGCTCTTATTTTTCCTTTATTTATTTATTTATTTATTGATGCCGGGGATTGAACTCGGGACCTTGCACTTGTGAGGCAGGTGGCAGAACCACTGAGCTAAATCCCTGGCCCCCTTATATTTTAAATAAAAATACAAAAATAAAAGTACAAATTTACATTTGGTAAAAAATGTTCATAGTACAGAAAGCTCTAAAATAATAAGTATTCTTCCATGACACAGCAGGCTTGATTCTTCAAAGTCCTTAGTCTTATGAGTAATTAACTAAAGGTGATGGTAGTCTTTTATCTGCAAATACTTTTCAGGTCTTTGCAGCTGTGTTGGCTGTCTCATGTGACACCTCTTACAGAGCAAAGCCATGCAGCCTTCTTCATAAAGAAAATTTCAAAGGCAACATGCACACACTGCTCAGAGATGGCAGAGTCCAGGAAGCACCTCAGATGCCACTGGATCTAAGGGTGGTTCCAGTCCAGGTGTCATCGAGGGACTGCAGCCCTAGCTGCAGGCTGTCTTTAGGGAAGAGAGGCCAGTGTGGAAGGAGGCGTTCTCAAGGAGGTGAAATACAAAAGCTCCTGCTGTTCCTTGAAGGGCCGAAAAGGCCTAGGCTTGCCAGTTGAAGTGCACATCATGAGTGAATTTTGCACGTATTTCTCTTGCCATGCAACAGAAGGGTGTCTGCTTCAGCAAGAGGCTTGTGCTCTTCTGCAGATTTTGGATCTCTCTAGCCAGCCGTGTATCCACAGACTGAGCTGACCGAAGGAAGCAGTAAGGCAGTGCCCACCCGCTGCGAGGCCTTGGTTCTGGGCCCTGGGCACAGTCTTCCATCCAAATCACCTGTCTCCGGTTGGCGTTAAATTTGCACACTTCTGAGTCTGGCATCCTGGCACTGGCTAACAAGTGTCATTTGTCAAAATGTCGGAAATTTTGTAAATTGGTTGTTAAAAAAAGTCATTATGAAAAATTAACTTATATAAATTTATAATAAAATTAAACCAAAGGTAATACTCAAAAATGATCAATTCCTAATTCTTTTGGTACATTTTATAATTTTTTACACTCAAGCTTATTTATGAGTATTGTATCTGCATGGTGGGAATATTAAAGAATGTGCAGTTGTACACATCTGTTCAAGTCCATGTTTAGTGACACCTTTTGAATGGCTTGCAGTTAGCCAGGACAGGAACATTTACACCAGAACAGGGCCTTCATTTCCAGAGAGCTGGTTGGTAAGCATTTACCAGCATGAGGCTGGCAGGGTGACCCCTACATCGTATGACAGGGACCTGTTTGGACATGAGCTGAGGCAGATCAAGGAAGCCACATGCAGATGAGAGCCAAGAGAAGAGAAGGCGGGGGAAAATGGAAACAGGATACACCAAAGAAGAAAAAGGAAAGAAATAAACATTATTGGCCAAAACAACAGCTTTAAGGAGAGGAAAATGGAGTTCAGGACTCTCAGTGCTGGTGGCCCCTTGTGTCTAGCTGGAAGTTGAGTCTTTGGACAGTAGTGAAACCTCCATCTAGGTCACTCTGCTACTTCTCTTTTCACTCACGCTGGCCCTGACACAGAATCTCCCTTCCAGTTGTTAACAGCATTGGGGAGAGCTCTAGACTGATAGGGAAAAGTTTTAGATAACTTAGTAGATTGAATATTAAGGTAGTTGTAGAAGCAAAATAAGTAATGTATTCCTTTAAGATTTGCTTCTCCCGTAACTCTTGTTGTTTAAGGTGATGGTTATCTAACTCTTTAACCAGTAACTTCATGATAGGTAACATTTTAACCTAACAAAGTTGCAATGCCTGGGTAAATTTACAATGTATATGTGCTTATCTTGTGTCTGGGACTTGTAAATAGGAACTGGAATTGTATTTACACATCAAAGACCACTAGGGATGAGATAATGGCTAAAAAGGATATAAAAAGGTATCGCTGAACAAAGGGTGTGCAGACACTGACCAGACCAGTTTCTGGTGGTCCTGCCTGCTTGCAAGTAAACTTTTATTATTTTACCTGAATTCTATGTCTCCATGTATTTCTTTCCACGATTTCTGGAACAAGATGAAGCAATAAACAACTTCCTGCTTCCTAAAAGACAGTACACTCTTTTTTTTTTTTTGGTACCAGGGAATGAACTCGGGACCTTGCGCTTGTGAGGCAGGCGCCAGAACCACTATGACGGAACCACTATGACGACTCACTTCAAACAGACCATGGCTCAGGCCATTTTCAATGCAAAATGGGCATCTATGGACAAGCTTTCAGCTCTCAGAGACAATGCTCAAGAGACAAGCAAGGATTTATTATTAAATAAGTGTCTACAATCTCAGCACTATACAAGATATTTTTGAATTTGGACTCATAAAACATAGGGGTAGCGGGGCGTGGTGGTAATCTCAGCATTTGGGAAGGTGAGGCAGGAGGATCTCCAAGAGTTTGAGGCCAACCTGGGATACATAGTGAGTTCAAGCCCAGCCTACACTACAAAGCAAGACCCTGATTCAACAAAACAAAACAACTCAAAACAACAACAACAAAATGTAGGAGTGTGCTTATGTTTAATTGATTTGGAAGATAGGAAGTGGTCACACAATTCAGAGGGAAACAATGTAACACATTGAATTTTCAATTTGAGCCAGCATTAGAGTCATCTGAGGATCTTTTAAAACATATACTGCTGGGGACCAGTCCAGAATTTCTGACTCTGCCGGCAATGGGCCAACAACTGCATTTCTAACAAGCGTCCAGGTGCTGTTGATACTGGTGGTCAAGAACTACTCTGAGGGTCACTGATATAAAATCTTACATACATAAGTTGTCATGACTCTGAGAGGTGTGAGGCTCCTAGATATCAGTGTAAGCAGTTTGGGTTGATCACCAAAATAAAGAGAAAAATGTGAATTTGTATTGGTGACAGAGGGAAGTGCTATGAGTGGAGGAGATGGCTTGAGCAAGTGCTTAGAGATGCGTGCACATGTGTGTATGTTGGATGGGAAACTAACTCACTTGTTCATGGTTTAAACTGGAAGAACAGGGTTCATGTAGGACCCTGATGATAAGTGAATTCTGAGCACAATGCATGATTTTATGGAAAAAATTATAAAGAAGGTGATGAAGCCACTACAGTGATGTACATCCTTGCCATTCAACGGTTTCTTTATTGCGAAAAATCAGGCTTTGATATGGTTTTAGTTGTATAGAAACTAAAGAAAAATCAATGCTTTATCATAAAGATACTGAGCAATATCAAAAAAGATACAATGCCACAGACACAAGTCCCACCCACATACCTTATGGACAACTGGGGCCATGCTGGTGATTTTCTGAAGGCTTAATTTGCTAATTTCAGGATTGGAATCATTGATCCAGTTTCTGAGGAGGACCAAAAATAATTCTGGGAGTGGGTCCTTAAAGAACTTATCCAGAATCTGAAACAAAAACCAAAACAAAACAAAACAAAAACAGTTAATGAGTGGAGTCAAGGCAAAGGGCACAATTTCTGTCTGTCATGAGAGTCAAGACTGGACTCTGAGTCACATGAATCTCCCATGTACTTACATGTATTCCTACATATGACCCTATGCTCACAGATGTGGGAGACAGTAATCAGATAAGGAAAAGATGCTGTACTTTGTGTCCATTTTGATAATTTCTCTCCATTGTTGGAAATTAAATGACCCAATTTAAATTACCCTCCTTGCCAGATGCGGTGGTGCATGCCTCAGGCTGAGGCAGAAGGATCACCAGGAGGAGTTCAAGGCCAGCCTGGGGTACATAGTGAGTTCAAGGCCATCTTGGACTACATAGCAGATCCTGTCTCTAAATAAATAAATAATAAATAACTCTCCTCTTTGGATTATAGTCAGATAGCTGAGTTTCTTTATAAGGTATTTTGTATATACGAAAAGTTAATGTCTACTTTGGCTTAGCACTGTGCTAGTAAGTGGAAGATATAGTGGTAAGGAGGAAGGTCTCAATCCACGAGTTTGTGGTGTTTATAGAGTAGCTGGTGAGGCTGATGCTGCACAATGAGACCCTGCTCTGCACTGTTCTGAAGAAAAGAGTTGTTCACCGTGACCAGCATTGGGATGAAAAGCTACAAGACTCCACAGAAACATTTGCAGGAGGCCAGGGATTTAGCTCAGTGGTTCCAGAGCCTGCCTTGTAAGTGCAAGGTCCCGAGTTTGATCCCGGTACCAAAAAAAAAAAAAAAAAAAAAATTTGCAGGAGCGCTGAATTTAGATTTTATGGTATAAGTTTAATTTGGAATGGAGCCAGCTGGGTCTGAGCAGCCAAAAGACCAAAGTGGAGAGGGGAGAGAGGACCAGTGGGGGTGAATCCTGTCTTCGAAAACAAAATGAAAGAAAAAAAAAAGAAGGAAGAGTAAGAGAAAGAAAGACAGGTCAACTTACCAAGGCCCTATCTCAAAAAATAAAGGGCGTGGGATGCAGCTCAGTGGAAAAGCCCTGGGTTCAATTCCAGAGAGACAGAAACAGACAGGGAGGGCAGGGGTATGAAGGGACAAAGAATGAAAGAAAGAAGAAAGAAACAAAGACAGACAAACATACAGACAGACAAAAAGAGAGAAAGGAAGAAGGAAAGGGCATGTGTGCTAGAGCTTTATGCATGCTAGGCACACACTCTACCCAGGACCTCTACCCTCAGCAAAGATGTGCAGTTCTTAACAAAAATCTTAGCAAATCAGTTTCCAACTGGGCTGGGGATTTAGCTCAGTGGTGCTGCCACCTGCCTTGCAAGCGCAAGGTCCCGAGTTCGAACTCCGGTACCTCCCCCACAAAAATTTCAATTTCCAACTATATCTAGCTTTTGGAATAAATATTGCAATGATATTTAAAATTTTTTAAATATGTCATTAATAAGCTATGTAGAAAAAACATTATATTTTAACTGTTAAAAGGTAGTCAATAAAATTCAACTTTCAATTACAGCCATGAATAGAATGCTGTCTAACTAATAACAGTTTCTTTCTAATAAACGTTAACTATGTCAGGGCCGGGGATTCAGCTCAGTGGTTCTGTCGCCTGCCCTGTAAGCACAAGGACCTGAGTTTGATCCCTGGTACCAAAAAAAAAGTTAACTATGTCAATTGTAAAGCAGAAAAGCCTCTCTACTAAAACACATAATGAAATGAGAATGTGGTATTATCCCTGGGATTATTGCAAACTGTACAAGAAGTCATTATAAGTCCTCTACTCATCCCCTCAGCAGCAGTAGTTTCACAGCCATAGTGGATAAAAGTCTTTTTGTGGGGTCTCTTTGGCATTACTTAGAAGGTTGAAATCCCTGCTGGAGATCAAGAGTGAAGAAGGCTTTTTTGAGGGGGCAGATTTGCATTCTGGTGGCAGATTTATCAACCATGACCATAGTTCCAGACTCAGAAAGGCCCCTTTCTCCTATGGACTTGGCTATAGCTCTGTTTGGCTTTGATCCTACCACAGAACCATCCAGTAAGGAACTAGGAGGAGTCATGCCTACTTATGCCTCAGGTAACAGGCCTGCCAATCTTGGTCCTGACTAGGGCAGTGAAGTGACCCTAAAAGTCAGCTCTAAGCCCTTCGAAATCTTGCCTGCTTAGGGAGCTGCGAGGAGACATGTCCACCTTGGTCCCATAGCACGTCCTGGAACAGCACAGCAACTTGACTATAGTCCCTTTCAGCTGCAGTTTGGGACAAGTCCTGCCTGCCCAGGGACCCAGTGGGAGCCGTGCCATCTATGCACCCTGAGGGAGCCTGCAGACCATGGTCTTTGTGGTGGACACTGATTGCAGAGGACTCATTTCATCATCACTTATCATCGTATGGGGTCTGTCTCGCAAGGAGACAGCTGGAATCCTCCCATGGACACAGAGGGAGCTGCTCCCATTCACAAACTTGGTAACAGGTCTGCCATCTGTGGACCCTGAAGCAGACCCTCATTCCAGTGCCAACCCTACTTTTCTGGAAGCAGTTCATTTCACCCATGGACCACACAAGATTCATGCCTGCTTGAGCTCATAAAAACAAGCCCAAGAAGAGAAGGTCTTTATCTGCCAAAACTAGTATGCAAATACTGGAAAGGGCTATTTGCTATTTTAAACACATAGATGCCGGTGCAGTGAAGAATCGGGCAAACATGACTTGGCCAAAGAAAATTAATAAAGCTCTAGTAAGCTACCAAAACAAAAACAGAAACAAACATAAAGGGTATCTAGGAACTGCCTAACAGAATTCCAAACAAAACAACAAAGACAACCAAATAAAATTAGAAAAGCAATATGTGCATAAAATGAGAAGTTTAATAAAGATGTAAGTGCTCATATGACATATGCAGATTAAAAATGTGACACACCATATTAACAGAATTAAGGATAAAACTCATGATCTTTTCAATAGATGAAGAAAAAGAATTTGACAACATGTCAAAGATTCAGAGAAGATGAGGAAGAAAGTGATCCTTGCTGAGTAAATGGGAGGCCAGGCTCACCAAACTCTGATAGCAAAAGACACTAATACTCTTGAGAGAGGTGATTAGATTTCACCAAACCTCATCTGTTGCATTAATGATGCTAATATAAATCTGTGTAGTTTGTAAATTTCTTTTAAATGTATTATTTTAGGGGAGATTTTACTTATGTCCTGTTTAGACCTATTTAATATTTATACATACTTAAGTGTCAATACAATGAAAATAATGAATCACAAAATAAACCAAGAAGAGGCAAAAGGATTAAGCATCTTTGAGAAACAGCAGTGTTCAATTAAATTGATTCACAAATACTTCAGAAAGCTTTAGAGGTACACCATTTAGTGTATAAGTATCTTTTATAGTTTATTAACTGTTTTCTTATGTTGTTTGAAATCATATTTTTTAAAACTATTGGGCATCACATCTTTACAAGATGACTTTTGCATGTCTTTTTTTTTTGGTACTGGGGATTGAACTCCGGTCCTTGTGCTTGCGCAGCAGGCGGCGAAACCACTGAGCTATATCCCCGGCCCTACAACATGACTTTTATGGAAAAATTACATTCAACTCAGATAATTTCAATTTACACAATCTTTTTTTGTAAGCCAAAGGACTTCCTCAGTATGCTCCTTCACTATGACATTGCAATATATGATGTAATATTCATATTCAAAGTAATATTCTTCCACATCTTTATTTGACACAGTCGTTTGGACAATTCCTATTTATTCCCAAGAGAATCTGAATTATAATGTAGACCCACATGTCACTTACTGGGGCCTTTGGAAAACTCCATCATCCTTGATATACTTTAGCAGACATGCAAAATATATATTTTTGTGCAAATCCGCACCCTCTAGGAGAAGATAAAAGCCAACTGCTAGAGCAAACTAAAGGGGCAACTCTCCCATAATCCAGATGTAACTCATTTCACTGCTCCCTTCCCCACCCTCAGATATCTTTTTATTCTCTTTTAAGTCTTGGTCAAAACAAATATTTTGACGGGGAGACAAAAGGCTAGAGTGTTAAGCTTAGGTAAGAAAAGAAAATGAGAACTGTGTTATTCATAGTTTCCTATTAAAACTCACTTTGATGAAGAATATTACTATGATGATATGCTCTTCTGACCTCCTAGGACCTTGCACTAAGATCTTGTGGAGATAATATAAGGTTTCTGGAAACTGTGGAAAGTTATATTCACAGAGAGTTCTGTAAAGGAGATGGAGGCACTGAATTAGCAAAAAAGAAAACATGTTCTGCATCAGCAAATACTGATAGTGATAAAGAGATAAATCGGGTGTGATGGTGCATGCCTGCAATTCCAACACTCTGGGTGGCTGAGGCAAGAGCATTGCAAGTTTTGGGCTGGGGATTTAGCTCAGTGGTTCCGCCGGCCGCCTTGCAAGTGCAAGGACCCGAGTTCGATCCCCCGGTACCAAAAAAAAAAACCCCAAACAAACAACAACAAAAAAAGCACTGCTGGGCCGGGGATTTAGCTCAGTGGCTTCGCTGCCTGCTGCACAAGCGCAAGGACCTGAGTTCGATCCCCAGTACCAAAAAAAAAAAAAAAAAAGGCATTGCAAGTTCAAACCTAGCTTGGACAACTTAGTGAAACCTTGACTCAAAATTTTAAAAAAATTAAAAATAAATTAAAACTACATATACGGATGGAGATATATAGTTCAGTGTGAAGGCCCTGGGTTAAAGGTTTAATTCTTAGCACTGGAGGAAAAAAAGATGAACGTTAGCCTCATAGTTTTTACCTCCCAGAGTAAAAAGAAATGATATTCCTAGTGTTCCCTAATCCAAGATAAACGACAGCCTCGCTATGAATTCTACACAGCCTCTGGGGATTATATCCAACTGGACCTCTGTCTGCATTTCTTTCCTTAATGCCACTTCTCTTTTCTGTTTCTCTCATCCTTTCCCACACAACAAAAGGCCCTATTTGTGTACAATTTCCCATCAATTCTTGAGCAATTGGAGAGGTAGAAGCATCTAAAGGTCAACCTGCAGTAGCTGTGCAGCTCACCTTTGCTGTTCTGATCGCATCTCTCTTTTGAATAGTATAATGACGAAGAGAGCCTGGGACTACTATGGATAACTCATGAGAAGAGGCTGTAAGGTCTGATTCAATAAGCCTTACACACATACACGCACACACACACACGCACAAGCAGTGGTCGGGCTCGGAGCTGTCCTGACTCACAGACCTGGATCAGACTGGGAAAGTGGGATCGGAAAGGACGACACTGCAAAGTTTCCATTTCAAGACTCCAGGTTGCTCTTGTAGAGTTTTAACGTGCCTACAAACCACCTGGGGACTTGCTAACACCAGCCTCTGAATCAAGCCCCAGGTGAGGCCTTGCAGCTCTATAGGTCAGGCTTTGGGTAAGAAGATTCAAAGGTCCTGAGGACAGAGTGGACACTGAGCTAGTGACTTGTAGGGTGAGGAGGCACCACACGTTTACACAGTAAGGTGTGTTTCTGAAACACAAGTGCAAATAAGATACCTTTTTGTTTTGTTTTGTTTTGTTTTGTTTTTTGAGACAGTGTCTCGCTATGCAGTCCAGGCTGGCCTTGAACTCACTACGTAGACCAGACTGGCCTTGAACTCATAATGATCTTCCTCCTTCAGCCTCCCAAATGCTGAGAGTACAGGTGTGCGCCAACACACCTGGCAAAATGCCATTTTTAAAAGCACCAAGAGCCCATGGACCACATAGACTACACTTTCTGGGTCAGTTACAATGTCACATTAGTATGTCAGGTCGACAAGTCCCTATATCTTAATTCTTAATCGGAAAATTTGATCCCTATAATCAGAAGCTTGCTATTCACTAAAGGCCAAATGAAAACTTTTACTACCTTTTCCAGTAAAAGAAAAATAAAATTTTTTTTACACTCTAGTTCCCCAAATTTGTTTGGTTCATTGAACACAGATCTTTACTGGGCCTCTTTTAAGCAAGGGTACAGGATTGTCTGAGGTCTGCAGAGCAGGAATGAGCTAAATATCAGAAAGAAATACAGACTCACCTTGAGCTCTCTATACCAGAAAGACAAATATGTTCTATAGTGTGAGAGTGATTGGGTCATCAAGTAACAGGGAAGGAAAGGGGAAAATACCCCCAAATAAAACCTCTCAATATAGCTGAAGATGTAGAAATCAAATGGCAATTTAAATAATTAAAACATTTAAAAATTGAAATAGATCCTGTGTTCCCATGTAGCTTACTTGAGGGAAGATGGAGGCCAAGCATCCCACTCAGAGCCTCCTGTTCTTACCTGGCAATGAGGTTGACCCCATCTTGGTAATAGTATGTTTGGCAAATATGACTCCAGCAATACTTCTGTTTCAGAGCAGTATCCACTTCTTGCAGTCCAGAACAATTTAGCAGAATTCTCAGCCCCTCCCGGGCATAACTAAGGACCCAAAAAAGAGCATCATCCTGGGACAATGACCTTCACATAACTAAGTACACATGCCCTGCCTTTTCAGCCCATCCTGGTAGTGTACAGGTTTTGAGAAATGGGATGTTCCAGAAGAAGTCAATGTCTAGATGCTTCCATCTCCCTTGATTAGTAGTACACAGGACAAGAGGTTAAATTAAAATTACAGCACATAGGGCCGGGGATTTAGCTCAGTGGTTCTGCTGCCTGCCTCGAAAGCATGAGGTCCCAAGTTCAATCCCTGGTACCAAAAAAAAAAAACAAACCTTAGCTACTCAAGAGGCTCAGGCAGGAGGCCTCCTGAGAAATTTAGTAAAATTACAGCACATAAAATCTAGGATTAATCACAGAGCGGCTTACTAATTTATTAATTATTTTCAATAGATCATCAACAAAATAATGACTTGTCAAAGGTGTCTGTTTTCTTTCATGGATGTCATTAATAAAGAGGATATGTTCTCTATTCAAAGTGGTTAAGTATATGTCTGCTTAAAGCACAGGGAGTGGATTATATATCTTAATAAAACTGACTGTGTTTTAGAGCCCTGTCAGGCTTCAGTGTCCATATCAGGCACTGCAACTAGCTGACAGTTGCATTGACAGTTCTCTGGAGGGTAGCACACACAAGCAGCTGTGCTGTCTTGGGGAGAAGGGAATCCTGAACTTTTCCTGATGAGGACAGAGGACTCATGTCGTAAGCCCACACATGCCATCCTCAGCCATAAAACAGTTTTCCAGTTCACAACACACACTTGTGCACATTGTTTCCTGGTTTATGTATGATAAGCCTGAGAAGTTACCATCAGAAAATGGGTATGGGTTGTGACCTAGTGCTGCCCCCTTACAGAGCTAGCAGGGAGCACAGCAAGAATGAACAGTGTTTTGCTGTTGTGACTCTTTCTATTCTGTGCACACACGCAGGGCACATGCTATGTGATGTCTAGGTTCTCTGAATGGTTACTTTTCTGAAGAGATCTGCCCTTCAGAGGACAGAACACTGTAATGCACGAATGCACTACACCCAGGATTGCACAAACCCCACATGAACACACGGGAGTGGTTCATCTCGTATTGGATCAGAAGTAACCCGCACTCTCTCACATAGGCCTGTCCTGTGGCTGCACTCTCAGCTGACTGATGTAAAGGAGTTGAAACATGAGGGCCATCAAGATCTCGGGAAAAAACTGGGCCACTGTCTTCTTATAGGAACCCATAGGCAAAAGCATGCACAGGGCCTGGGATGCCTACAAAGGAAGGAAAAGGTTATTAAAAAGGGAAGCCTCTCCCTGTAAACCCAGTCTTACTGAGGAGAGGAAGAGTGGGACTCTGCAACCTTCCTCAGCCTCCTTGAAGGAAGCATGAACCATGACTGCATATTCTCTCATTCAGGAGCAGCTACTGAGTCAGCTGAGCACCAGAACAGTGCCAAGCATTTCCAGGCAAGGTGCTCCAGAGCACAACTGAACATCCCTGGCTGCCAAACCGGGGGGAAGCAAGCTGGTCCCCAAGAGGATGTACATCCCAAGCTCCCCTTCATATGTGGCCATGAAGAACAGTCCTGTTAACAACCCAGGTCCTCCCTGCACTCAAATGATCCAAGGAAGTGGGACAGGCAAGGGGAAGTGGGACAGGTTGTCCACAGATCATTTGGTGTACTGACTTCTACAATACCCATCACATCAGAAATATATATCCCAGCTCCTCACATTTATCAAACATGGCATTTATTTATTTGTTTGTCTGAGATAGGGTCTTGCTAAGTATTCCAAGCTGGTCTTGAACTCACTATTTAGCTCAGGCTGGCCTCAAACTCTCACCAATCCTCCTGCCTCAGCCTCCTGAGTCTAGGATTACAGGTGTGTGCATCATCAAACCAGGCTGTTTTATTGTATTTCTTTTTTTTTTTGGTACCAGGGATCGAACTCGGGTCCTTGCGATTGCGCAGCAGGCGTCGGAACCACTGAGCTAAATCCCCGGCCCTGTTTTATTGTATTTCTGTAAGACCTGAATTTACTCCCAGGCATGATGATTTGGGTCGTTGGGAGATACATAATGATGGACGCAAGTGAAATTAGGCCTTCACATCGTATAAAACTGTGTAGGGTTGAGCTTGCAGCTGCCTCACTGGTTTCATCACCTCCACTCCCGCCCTTGCTCAGCTCATTCTGATTCTGCAGCCCTCATGTACTCACTGACTTCCATTACCTCAGAGCTTTTGCTCTCCTTCCTGTCTGTCTTGGGTATACGAAAGGACCACCCTCACCTGGTGCAGGTATCTGATTAGATGTCACCTCAGCAGGGAGGCTGGATCTGACCAAGTCACCTTCACCATCCCTGACACTTTTTTTCTCCCAACACCATTTTAGATTTCTTTGGATGTCTGACACATACACGGCTTCCCTGTCTCCGTCTCTTAGCAGAATGTAAGCCCCATGGTCAGGGTGTGGCACACAACACATTTGTACTGGGCGAGTGGACAGGTGAGGGCAGACTATGTTGAGGAGAGACTGAGTCTGTGCAGATAGGGATGGCAAGAGAGAACAACACTGGGAAGAAACATGCATTATGGTCCTCACCGCCAGAGGCATCATGTTAGTGACATCCAGAATGAAGCATCTCCCTTCCTGCATGGTGTCCTCCACTTCCCAAGGTTTGTCTTTCAAGACCAACAGGATTTCCTTCAGCACTTGTGGGGCAACTTGTGGCTCAGAGCCCACTGCCTGCCACATCAGCATCAGAGCGCTGCAAATACAAAATGCTGTGAACTCAGGCAGATCCTAAGTCGGCCGTTCCCTACTGGACACAGTGACTCGAATCACATTTTTTAGGCAAAGACAGTACAGACAAGACCACAACAAGGTGAGATTCTTATGTCCAAATGATCCCTAAGTCTCTTTTCCTCAAAAGCAGAGGAAGATTTCAAGTGACAACTTATGGAAAATACAGTCTGAAAGTCTTGCTGATATTTAAGTATCTATGTAGCTCATCAGAAACTGATCAATTTTCTGCACCCTGTACTCTGCTCCTGCATTGGGTGAGCCTGCTTGTCCAGGAATACTTTTATATTTATAAAGATTGGCATGGGAATACAAATTAGTCATTAATATGACTAAATCATCAATATGCAGGTAAATTTATTTAAAACCTAAATAAATAAAATAACAATAACAATAAAAGTGAAAACCTGAGCTCAGAGGCATAAAGCATATTGCCAAAGGCCACATGTTTAATTAATAACACATGTGTGCTTGGTCAGAGCCCTGATGTCAGGACATCGGGTCCCCTCCCTCCTTTCCCACACAGTCATGCTTCATGAATAGTCTGACTATTGCTCATCTTAAACTGCTTCACATCTCTGTGTCAGCAGAATCTTGATATCTTGTCAATCCACACTGGGCTCTGAGGTCTATCATTCAGTCTTTCTGCAGCTGGGCTCCTAATAGAGGAGCCTGGTCCCCCAGAGCGGGTATACCCAGCTCTGTAGAACCTACTACCCAGCTGCTCCCTCCTGCAGGGCTCATGCTGAGAGCCATGGGGACACCAAGTCTTGCGTACCCTGTCTCATTTTCTCACTTCTTTTGGCTGATCAGATTTTCCATTCATTTCTGTAGTTTAGCTTAACTCCTGGCCTTTTTTTTGGTACCAGGGATTGAACTCGGGTCCTTGCGCTTGTGCAGCAGGTGGTGAAACCACTGAGCTAAATCCCCGCCCCCCCCCCTTTTTTTCTTTTCCTTGAGATAGGATATCACTATATAGTTCAGGCTGTCCTTGGATTTGTAGCCCAGCCTGGCCTCAAACTTATGCCTCAGCTTTGTGAGTGCTGAGGTTACAGGCAAGCACCACAATGCCCCCGGCCTCCTGGTGATTTTCTTTTTTTTTTTTTACTGTACAGATATTTTTATCATATATATATTAGGTACACATATTAGGAATAAAAGTCCTACTCTTAGAACATGAGAAGACAATTAATGAAAAAACAGAATGAACATAAGACTAAGTATGTGTTTAGATTCATATTTCACATGTAGTTATTAAGCTGATCTTTTAGTATTCACTTATTTGAAACTGTAGAGTTGATAGAGGATGTATGCCATTTAAGTATTAGTTTGAATCTTATAAAACAATTTTATTGGTGGTACTTATTTGTGGGAAGAAAACTTTACTGTATGCAATAATTGTGTCCCAGTGGACATGGTTTAACAGTGAAGGTTTTATATTATGGAGAAGAAAGCAAGTGTAAATATTGGTTATTTTAGAAATGCTACCCAAACTACAATAGTGATTTTCAAATAACATCAAAATGAGGAGTATAAGGGCATGCTTATCCCATTTTCTAATCAAAAGGATGTTTAACCTGCATAAGAATGAGGTGTTAATCTAAAGGATTACAGGATTTGCCTAGGAGAGGAAGAGTCATTTGTAATCACAGGGATTTTCTAACTAAGCGAAAGGAAAACATCCTCTGAATGACAAAGATGGCTATCCAGAGGTTAGATGATCAACTCAGCACACCGCCCACTGCCCTGCTTGCCTGCCTGAAAAAGACCCTTTGGTATTCTGAATACTTTGAAATGATCACCAGGACAAGAGTCTGACCATTTGGAACAAAGCCCTATATCCTTCCTTCCAACTCTCCCTTCTGAATATTGCTGTCCTGGGGCAAGCACTGCTGCCAGAGGAAGTCACATCTCCTTCCCAGTATATAAACCAGATTGGTTTGGTTTGGTTTTTCTATGGGATTGGTTTTTCTAAGTTCTTCTAATGTATCTGTTAGAGACATACTATTCCACAGGCTCACATTAGTAATTTTTTCTTAAATATTTCTTGTGATCTTGGATCATGAATTTCAGATTAACAGTTAAGGGACAGGAGACTTCCTTCCAATTATATTTGGTAATTTTTTTTGTTTTTCATTTTTTGTTTTTTTGGTACCAGGGATCTAACTCGGGACCTTGCGCTTGCGAGGCAGATGGCAGAACCACTGAGGTAAATCCCCGCCCCCTCCCCAATTTTTTTTTTTTTTTTTTTTTGCGGTACTGGGGATCAAACTCAGGACCTTGCACTTGCCAGGCAGGTGCGGCTAAATTTGGTAATTTTTTTATATTTGGTAATTTTTAATGTCGAATTCTTTCTATTGGTGGGTAGAAATATCTTATGTCTGTCTTTCATAAGCAAGAAAAACACTCGATGTGTGGAATTTTTTTCCTTCAGAAAAAAGAGTAAATTCACCAAATGGGAAGAAAAATCTATGATCACTTTGAGAACAGGTTTGTTCCTAGAGGATATGCAGCAGAACATAATCGAAAGCCTCAGCTAAATAAAGGTGACATTGATCATTTCTTAAAGGCCCACTGTGTACCAGCTATTGGCCAAAGTGTGACTAACATTTATGATGGTATCTAAGCCTTGGAATCATCTATATGGCACAAAAATAGATCTCAGAAAAAGAAATGAGGCCCGGAAATGACAGCCCAAGATTTGAGTCTATCTCTGGCTGCCTGTGAACTGGTGAACACACAGGAGAAGGGGCAGGGTAAAGCCGTACTTGTCCGCTGGGACTGGGTAGTACATGAGCTGAAAGACGACACCTTTGGGCAACATTTGTGCCAACAAGGTGACAACCTCCAACAAGATGTCCTTCATAAAGTGAGAAGAATTTTCTTTCAGTTGCTTATAAATAGTGTCCACCATCTGACACACCTGAAAGAGAAATTTTGCAGGTCAACAAGTCTCCTGTTTTATGGTCACTTTGAAGCCAAGGCATTTCTTGGGTGTAACAATCTAGTCTTTCTTGGCCTGATCATAGCAGAAATTAATACACACACACAAGTGCACACAGAAATTACATTTACACAATGCAACACATTTATTTAAGTGAAGAATAAAGCTGTGCATTTATGGATATTGGGAAGATACCCATTAAATTTTTTTGTTTCGTTTTGGGAGGCTAGACTTCTTTATGTAAGATATATAAGATCAGTATTAGAAAATGAATACCTAATTCAAATCCTTAAAAAAGAAAGTCAAAACAATTGAGTAGAATAACAATGGAAGTATTTACTCCAAAACAACTTTATGAAAAGATCATTTGAATGCACACACCAAGGAGCGAGTCAGGGATGGGAGGAATGACTGAATGATAAAAAGTTGAATCTTTGAACTGTAATCTTCAAACTCTACTCACAAGTCTCATGCTAGTTTTTTTTCTTTTCCTTTTTACTTACTTTTTTTGGTCCCAAGATCAAAGTTGGGTCCTTGTGCTTGCAGGGCAGGTGGTGGAACCACTGAGCTAAATCCCCAGCCCTTTATTTACTTTTTTTTTTTTTTTTTGGTACCAGGGATCGAACTTGGGACCCTGCGCTTGCGAGGCAGGTGCCGGAACCACTGAGCTAAATCCCCAGCCCATCCTTTATTTACTTTTTAACAAGGAGAGTTTTCTACCTAGGCCTGGAATTTGTCTTACATCAATAAAGCAAAAGAAAAAATAAATGAAATGTGAGATATTGCAGGGTATTCCTGTAATACATGTGCTCCCAGATGAACACGAGGTGACATTATTAAGCCATTGCTTTTCCTCAAGGACCTCTTCACTTCTAGGACTTCCAGCTGCTTCTTCTTGCTGTCCTGCTTTAGATGCAGCATAGATCTCAACAAGCTATGTCACTGGGTGCTCAACTACAGGAAGAGTGATTTGTTTGAATCCCCAAAGAAAGACTTGGTGCGCTAGATTTATTTAGAGATTGTAAGCCCATACAGTGGAATCTTGAGTTACAATCAGGCTGACATACAAATGATTTGAGTTATGACTGGAATTTTTGTTTAAACTTACAAACCAAGTCTTGAGTTACGACCTGAATGCTGGCCGCTGATCCTTTCAGATGGTCTCAGATACAGATTTAATCCTTAAAAAGTTCTGGAAGGAACATTACAGCATCCTTTCCTGTGTGAGGTCAATTGAGAAATCCTAGGCCAATGTCTCTCCAAGGACACTGAGATCTGCCTGTGTACAGGAGAGAGATTGAAGGCTGTGCAGAGGAGCCTGAGCCTTCAGTTGAACAACTTGAGTTACAACCAGCCCTTGGGAATGAATTGCATTTGTAAATCAAAGATACACTGTATAGTGTTTGTAAAATGTAGGAGATGTTCAGGACTGTTTTTTAACCATGCACAAATTTTCCTTATAACCAACATTAGATTCCATTTAGGAATCTATTTTATTCAGTAGTTCAACTATTTCTGAGAGCTGTGGTGATCATTTAAGTTGATGAACCCCATTTTTGTTCAGTTTCTCTGGATTAGTGATTTACTATACCGGAGGCTAGTTTTATGTAACTGGGCTTTTTTTTTTTTTTGGTGCCGGAGATCGAACTCGAGACCTTGCACTTGCGAGGCAGGCAGCGGCACCACTGAGCTAAATCCCCGGGTATATATCTGGGTTTTAGTGGCTTTCTCTGCAGAAACTTGGTGTAGTTTCCTCCGGCTCCCTTAGAGAACTCTGTCTTGTCAAGAAGAAGACCTCTGGTCTCTCTGCTCTGAATAATGCTCCCATCTGTCACTGCACTGGCAGTTAGTTCTCCCTCAATCAGGTGTCCCTTCCACTTTTCTGCTTTTAGCTTATTTTCAGTTACTTTGCCTGCCCTGTTGGGTCAGGAGAGGGTATTGGGAGTTTAGCCCTCAAGTCCTCATTGGCTGTGCTCATGGGGCTGTGACCTGTACAATGCACAGGGCTCCAGGTCAGACGGTCCTCCCACTTTGTTTAAAGCTCTGCTGTTGCCATCTTGAAATTTTTAATAATTTTCTCCTTGGGCTTGTGTTTTATAAGCTAAGCCCAATGGAACAATGGAGCACAGATGATACTTGCTATATGGGTCTTCTGTGGCTTTTGTGGCTCCATTCACTTACAGTGTTCACAATGCCTCACATGCATGCAATTCAGGGAGTACAGCAGAGACATCTTACTGGAACTGCAACCACTTAGCTGGAACAATGATGGCATAGAAGGCAAGAGAAAGATAGAATACTATGGATTGAACGTGCCTTCCAGGCCTCGTGTGCTGGAAACTTAATCCACAAAGCAAGTGTTGAGAGGTGAGACCTGTCAGAGGTGATTAGGTATGGGGCATCTGTCCGAATGCACGGATTAATGTCATTATCACAGAAGCTGGTTAGCTACTATAGGGGTAGGTTCCTGATAAAAGGAGTGTGGCTCCCTCCTCTCTATCTTACAGTGCTCTGCCCTTCACCTTCCGCATGAGGTGCTGTATCAAGAAAGCCCCTGCCGGATGCAGGCCCCTCAACCTTGGATTTCCCAGCCTCCAGCACTGCAAAGACGTTAATCTCTGATCGTTACAATTATCCGATCTCTGATACATTCTTAGGGCAACACAAACAGAAACCCATAAATTTTTTTCAGTCTTTCCTAACACATCAATGAGCTGAAGGTCAACAATTTGAATAGACTATGTGAATGACAAGAAGTGAAATAAAAACAGCTGAGTTAGTTTCTCTTATTGTTGTTGTTTGTTTATTATTTGAGACAAGGTCTCACTATGTACCCCAGGTTGGCCTCCAACTTCTGGCGATCCTCCTGCCTCAGCCTCCCAAGGGCCAGGATTTCAGGCGTGCGCTACCTCGTCTGGCAAGCTCAGTTAGTTTTGTGTAGTGTTTCTAGCCTTCTGCTTCTGGAAAGAATGAAATCCATACACATGTATGAAATACAAATTGCACTGTAGGAGTGATTGTGCAGGTGAGTTAAATGCATTTATTTATTTATTTATTTGTTTGTTTGTTTGTACTGGGGATTGAACCCAGGGCATTTGCACTGAGATATAGTCCCAGCTCCAGCTCTTTTTATTTTTTATCTTTTTATGCTTTTAATGTCTTTTTTTTTTTTTTTTTTTGGTACCGGGGATCAAACTTGGGTCCTTGTGCTTGTGCAGCAGGTGGCGAAACCACTGAGCTAAATCTCCGGCCCTGCTTTTAATGTCAATGTGCTTTTTTCATTTTTTTATTAGTACATGTTTGCTGTATATGATGTTTACTTTTATCTTAGGGAGTAAGTATATGTACTTAACATATCTTGATTCTTTTCTTTTTTTTTTTTTGTGCTGGGGATCGAACTCGGGACCTTGTGCTTGCGAAGCAGGCGCCGGAACCACTGAGCTAAATCCCTGGCCCTCTTGATTCTTTTCATTCTCCTTCCCCTTCCCATCCTCCTCCCTCTTTCCCTCTCTGGATACCTTTCTCCAATTTTCATTATTATTTTTTTTGGAGGGGGGGTACCAGGTATTGAACTCGGGTCCTTTGGCTTACGAGGCAGGTGGCAGAACCACTGGGCTAAATCTCCAGCCCTCATTATTATTATAATATTATCATTATTATTATTATTACTATTTAGTTTATGTTTGTGAAAAAACATGGAACCCTTCACGAATTTGCATGTCACCCTTGTGCAGGGCCACGCTAATCTTCTCTGAATTGTTCCAATTTTAGTGCCTGTGCTGCCAAAGTGAGCACCCTTCTTATTTTTCATTTTGAGAAAGGGTCTTGCTAAGTCACTAAGTTGTCCAGGCTGAGCTCAAATTTGTCATCCTGAGGCAAGAGCCTCAGCCACTCAGAGTACTGGGATTACAGGCATCCACCACCACACCCAGCTAAAAGCTCTTACATTTGCATTTACAATTAGCACTAGATATAATAGGGATAGCAAATGTACTAATAATTTAAAAATTTCATCATTCTTTTGGCTTACAAAGACATTAATGATGACTTACAAAGACATCCGTGATGACTTGAATGAGACTATAGAGGAAAAATAGTATCATAGGCTTAGCCATTTGATGAGTGTTTTTCCTATGTTGTGAAAGCACAGTCCCATATTTCATTCTGCACTGAGCCCCACAAATTGTAGTCACCCTGCATCAAGGTGCAGGTCCTTGAAACTCCATAAGGGCCACACAGGAGGTTTCATTCGTGACTCTACTGTGCTATTGTCATTAATGCATTTCTTTTAAAAAACTAAAGCAAGTATAGTAAAATATTATAATTTAGTATGACTGGCAGGTGAACATTCATTAAGGTATTCTCTAGAATTTTCTGCATACTTGAAATGCTTCATGAAAAGCCTCATTTTATTAAACTGACATGATGATCAATAGCAAGAAATGTGTATGAAAAGAAGTAGACATATAACAAAATGAAAAACTACACTACAGCTAAATTTTCAAAGTGGCCTATATGCCCATCAACACATAAATGGATAAAGAAAATGTATATGCTCACAATGTTGTACTACTCAGCCATAAGGATAAATTTGAGTCATTTTAGGAAAATGGCTGTGGAGACCTTAATGTTAAGCGAAATAAGCAAGAATGAAAGGTTAAGTATCACATGGTTTCCCAAAATATAAATGATGTAAGAGCAAAATAAAAGAGGATAGAAAACAGGGAGGTACATTTTGGGGAGATGGGAAGGGGACCTGAGATGGGGGAAAGGGGAGGTGGGAGGGGGAAGGGAAGTATAAAGGCCTAAGATATATATGCACTTTGAAAATGTCAAATACTTTGTCCAGCACCTTACCCTGGTGACCTTCTGGGCATGATATTTCAGAGTCAGTTTCAGCACAGTTGCTGCTTTGGATGCAGTTTCTTGATCAGATGTCGAGAGTTTCATCAGGAGATGCAACATAAAGTCAGTCAGCAAAGAGGGTGATAAGCTTTGTCCTATACACTGAAACCAAGAAGAGATATGTGACATCAGGCTCATAGAGAACACAAAACTCTCATGGGCTGTGTGGGTGCCCTTTACAAGCGTTAGTATAAAGATAATTGCAATCTAAAAGTAATTTAATTTTTTTCTCATGATTTTAAAACAACTCAGCTGTTCAAGTATTGTGGTAAACTTCTTCATCTTTGAAAATAAATTTGCTAAATCAGAAAGAAGTATGCTGGGTGTAGTGATGCACACCTGTGATCCCAGAACTCTGGAAGGCTAAGGCAGGAAGATTTCAAGTTCCAGGCCAGTTTGGAAAACTTAGTGGGATCCTGTCTTAAAATTAAAAATAAAGAAGAGCTGCCAATATAGCTTAGTGAGAAGCCCCTGATTTCTAGCCCCAGTGCTGCAAAAAACAAACATATATACAAATTAATCTGGTTGGAACTTCCCGAAGTTGAAACTCTTTGCTCTTTTTGGTGGGCTCCGAATTTATGCTAAGGAGGCAACTCATGGAAGGCTCCTAGATGGCTTCAGGATGGGGGATGGCTGTGCTAGAAAGAGCAACCGCGTGATCCAAGTCTTGGGGCTTTGGGCTATGTGACAGCAGCCAGACTGCTGAGGATGGGAGAGGACTGGAGAAGGAATTGACCAAATAGTCAGTGACTTGCTCATGTGCCTAGGTCAGGAAAGCCCAACAAAAAGGCTGCACAGTGATACTCAGGGGATGTTCCTGGGTGGTGGTACATACTGATGTACTGAGAAGGGGACACACCCTGAGGACGGAGATGGTCACATTTGAGAACCACAGCTATCACTTCTTGGCCTTTTGGCTAGGATCAAGTGTTGAGAGTCATTATCAGCAGTCTCAAAGACCACACTTCTGGGAGCAAGCTGACCCAGCTGAAGATCTCCCAGAGCCTTCAACTAGACCAATCCAAGCTTGATGAGGTCACATGACACATCAAGCAGGGGAGCCCCAATGGGTACACAGTGCTCCTAGCCACCCAGGCAGCCCCCAACGGGCCTGGCACCGAGGCGATGGCCACAGTGGAGCCACACCTGTAGAGGCAGCTTTTCAGGAACCTGGTCTCCTACTTGAAACAGAAGCAGGCTGCAGGGGTAATCAGCCTGCCAGTGGTGGTGGTGGGGGTCCAAGGGCAGAGACATCACAGGCATGCTTTACACCTTCCCACCCTGAGACTTCTCCCAGCAGTACCTCCAGTCAGCACTGAGGACATTGGGCAAGCTGGAAGAGGAACACATGGTGATAGTTATAGCAAGAGACACTGCCTAGCGCAAACTCAAAAGCAGTTACTTGCAAATCTGATTCCTTCTCTACCTGGTCCCTTGGTTTGAATTATCTGCTGGATTAATTTGGTTCATTTGGTGGGAGGATCAGAGTCTGTCCACCACTAAATCTAAGTTCTTAGATTTTGGGGGACTTTTTTTTTTATGACGATAACAAGAACCCCTGTTATGTTGACTTCTCTATGAGATACTGTCTGCTGTATTCTGGATTTTTAAAAAATTTTTTGACCAACTATGGAAAGTTGTCAGTAAAGCCTTTGTCAGAGGATGGATTTCTAAAAAAAAAAGTGCTGAGAGCTGTGGCTTCAGCTCAGTTATTCTCTCTGCTTGAAGAAGTTCACTCGAACTGTCGGCCACCCGGATTCAGGGTTTGAACCAACTTTGTGCAGGAGGAGCCCTGCACCTCCTAGAAGCAGCTCTTCCTGTCTGTAATCTTATTTGGCCACCTAGGGTGAATTCTCACATCTCTGTAGACTCTGCCTTGGCTTCCAGTTCTTCCTCTTCTGCTTCCTGAGCCATTACTAACCCTTTCTTGGATCTATATATTGATGTGTGAAATGTGATGCATGACTTGAGTATTAGTGATATTAGAATTAAGATTCAAAAAAAAGACCTGTGGCTGCCCAGCTCATTGAGTATTGAGTGGACATCGAGTACTTGGCCTGATAAGGCTGATGAAACTGATGTAACTAATGAATGTATTGGCATTCAATATATTCTTTTTTTGTCTTCCATATTTTCTTTTATTATTATCATTCTTTGCAACAAGATACATAGCAATGATAGCAGATTTCTGGTTTTTTTTGTACTGGGATCAAACTCCAGGCCTTGCGCTTTTGAGGCAGGCAGCGGAAACACTGAGCTAAATCCCCGGCCACTGCTGATTCCTTTTTAAAGCTTAGTATTAAATATTAAATATCTTTCCCCATTTTAATTTTACATTACTCTGGCAAGGAAAAAAATTAAAACTCAAGTTATCTGAAGCCTGGACACACTTCCATGATTAGCCAGGCTATGTAAAAGTTGGTGGTTTTATTCTTCCTGCTGTGTAAAGCAGATCTAGGCCCTAGAAATCTGGGACCAGGTTATAATTGTTTTTGAAAAGTATGCTACAAAAATGGATGGACTGTTATAAGCCTGGTTACAAAGTAAGGATGGAGGCAAGGGAGGGACATTTTTCTTTCAGAAAAAAAAATTCTGAAGTGTCCCAGTCCATAATTTTTCTCAAAATGATTGGAGGAGGGGTAACATCTCAACATGAGCTTCAAAGTACTGTCTCTGGAGGGACTAGTAAGTAGCTGTTTTGCCCTCTGCACCCTCTCCAGCTGGGGAATGGAAATGGAAAGTCTATTGCCCAGTGGCTGTCAAAGTGAGCTGACACTTGATTGGTACTGAATTCTCTAAGAAGTTTCTTCTAGAAACAGACAACTTAGAGTCTTCCTCTCACTTCAGCAATCTTTAAAAGCACTTGGCAGTGGTTCCAGTGCCTGCCTCCTAAATGCAAGGACCCATGTTCAATCCCTGGTACCAAAAAAAAAAAAAGCACTTGCTCCTCCACCATGTGAGTAGGAAGGCTCAGAGCAGGGAGTCATCAGTATAGCCACCCTCTAGACCATAACGGAATTCCTGCAGGTTGGAGACCCTGTAGAAGTCGACAAAGGCTGCTGCCATCACCAGGACATGGAAAATCTGATAAGACTGGAACCATATGTCAAATTTTCCGGGAAAGAAGTACTCAGAATACAAACAGCATAAAGGCCAGCGCTGGTGATGTACATCACAGCCATGAGGAAGAACCAGCCCATCTGGCCCACTGTGGTGGCCTTGCCAAAGCCCTCAGAGCTAGTAAAGTGCATAGTGGGCACAACACCACTCAAGCCAAGTCCCGGGAACACGCCTGCTCTTGTCTGCCAGTGCTCAGGAGTGGCAAACCGGTCCCACTGTGCTACAGTGATGGCAGAAATGCCCAGGACACAGATGATGGAGAGGTAGATGAGCCGAGGCTGTGGGGAGCAGTAGAAGGAATAAAGCCAGGGGACAAAGCTCCCCGTAATCAGTGCAGCAATCCCTGAATAGTCCAATTTGGAAAAAGTCTGAGAGACTTTCTCTGAATGACAATAGATGGTGTGAAAGAGCCAGGAGAAGCTGAAGCAGAGCACTGTACCCAAAAAAAACCCAACCCGAAAACCACCTTCTCCTGTAGAGGGGCCATGAAGTACATATTTGGTTGGAGCATGGTCAGGATTCTAAAAAAGAGAAAGAGCACAAAATCAAGTAGATGGGTCCAGATGTTGCCAGTTTCTGTATGGATGTGGAAGATGCTCTGGAAGCAACCCCAGAAGGAGGGCATGGATGGCCAGTGGCCATGTAACAGGTAGTCATTGTCCTTCAGCCAGTCAAGGAGGACATCATACGGGATGACTCTCCAACGCCCCACCCAGATCTTATACACGAACTCCTCCATCTTCTCCATGGCATAGTGGGCCTGCAGGGGGAGTGGCAACACCCACACCTCCTCCTCCTCTTCCTGGGGCACTGAGCATGTTTGCTCATCTTCAGCTTTGGTTGGGTTGGCGATTACTCGCTTGCCTTTCTCTTCTAGCAGAGGTCCCAGTTCAGCCAGTTCCACAGTGTCAGTTTCCCTGTTACTGGCAAGAGTCCCAGTGCCCTATGCTGCCACCGATCCTTTGTGGGAAGACATCTGGCTGGTACCTCAATACCTTGCAGCTTCAGCTTGGGGGAAGGTTGGGGTCTCTCAGCCCCAAGGGGCAGAGATCTCCCTGTGATGGTAGATAGGCCCAGTGGGCAGGCAGGTGGTGCTGGGGCCAGAGGTCCCCATGAGCTACATCCTGCGGTGCTGGCAGCGGCCTGTGGCCCAGTGGTCCTGATGCTGAGCAGCTGGTATTCAATAAATTTAGACATTGTGGAAAGACACAGATGTGTCTGGTCTATGTCACCAACATAGCTCACTTAGGACATGGCCTCTGTCTTTCTGATGTAAATGCCCAATCTCTTGCCCCTCTCCTCTTCCCCAAGAGGACCCTTGGATACATCCTTGACAAATGGGATGCATTTAGCCCTCAAACCCTAAAAGAACAGAAAGAGAGGCTTATTTTCTTTTGCAAGGCTGCCTGACTTAAGTACAAAGTAAGTGATGAAAACTCCTGGTTAGAAAAGTGAAAGTTTGAACTATAATACTATTTTGTTATATATATATTTTTGTTGATAAAAATACAGGGAAATTGTGAGAAGTGCCATACATCTAGGAATTCTTTGTTTTTAGGGATAACCCAGATCTTTGTAAAATGTGTAGGTTTATCCAGTAGTGATGGCTCTTATGGAAAAGGCTGTGCCTCCAAGGTTGGAGGGTCCCCAGTTTGTTTTACTCCCTCTTGACGATCCTATTCCTGACCCACTTTCCAAGCCTACAGTTTGTCTCCCCCCTCTTCCCTTAACTTACCCTGAGCCCCAACTTCCCTTTGAGAGCTTCCCAACTCCTACCTCAACTATGTCCTTTGTAGGAGATAATGAAAAATCAGTCCCCATGAGGTAGAAGGACCTGGCTGTAAAGTTTTTGGGAATTTTATGGTTGGGTACCAAATGCATGACATCTAAAAAAGGCCATTAAAATTGTTTGCTGCAGCAGCCTGTACCAATAAATACAAAACAACTAAAACTGTTTCAAGGACTCTTGGGATATTGGTACA